TAAGACTCTGATGGTGGCTGCCATTATTCTTAACAATTGTAATTTACTTTAATCGCCCCCAGCTCAACTCCGCATGTCAACCTGTCAGTCTAAGACCGGGAGACCGTGATATAACATATTCTGCTCTGCTTTGTGAAATCATGTAACATTGTCCTTGCAGTGAAAGTAGCATCGCAATAATCAAGACGGGTTACAGTGAAAAGCGCCCACACTGTACACGCATGATCACGAGGTGGAACTATAGTGAAGAGTGAATCAAGTGAAGTATACGGGGCATGGTATAAAGAGCACTGACCTATAAAGTTTGAATATTACATGTATTTTGTTAATGCAGACATGCAAGCCAACGCTTGCTTTCTCATGACAACATACTGTTTGTCAGAGCACTGTTGCATAAATGTTTGCAGGATGTCCTGGGTTCGGGTCAGATTTTCTGGAACAATGGCCTGACTCACTCATGCACACACTGAGTCTCTCTGTGTATCCGTCTTTCTTTGGCTTTCAAACACACACACACACACTGGGACAGACAGAGTTTGACTGAAACACTTTTATCTTGCATCTATTTTCTCCGCAAGCATGGTTGTTTGCCTAATTATTGCTTGCCCACACTGTACAGTTTTTGACATCCATTTAATATAATAAAGCTCCAGCAAGTAGTGTTCAAGACAGTTCTTTTTTTTCCCAGCAAGAGCCTGAGGAAAAGGCTCTAAGCCACACAACATCAGCATTTAGATGAGGCAAATTCCACTGAGTTATTTCTAGAGCTGTTCTAACATACTCTAATCATGATGACTATTTGACACAGGTTTACTTTTAAAGAAAAAAGAAAAAGGAAAAACAGCCCGCTGACACTGGCTGCAGCACCAGACAACCAAGCCGTCGTTGAAGTCGACATTTTCTGATTTCTTTGACAGATTCGAGCTTAATTTTCTAGACACGTTCCTTCCCAAGGGGCTATTTTCATCAGTTTATGACTTGTCATGTTCCTGTGTATGAGCTAATGTTGATGTCTCAGTTTCACATTCATCATAGCTGTCAGACCCAATGTGGTGTACAGAGGCAGTCGCTGCTGAAAAAGCAGAATCACAGGCCGTTTGGTTTTGACTGCAGTGAGGGGAAATTGCTGCTGTGGAATGTACTATAGGTATGTGTGGGCAGAAGCAGGTTTTATACTGCTAATCAGCGGGCGGTCTGTGGCTTTCACATTTGGCCCTTAAGGCAGGAAGGGGTAAGCTCGGACAGGAAGCGTCTGTGGCTCAAATACTTCAGGACGATATGATATGTACAGAGATTTTGTGTTGAATTGAGAATCTATGCACGTATGCAAGTGAGGGAGAAAGAGACGGAGAAGTTAATCTGAACTAAACTGTTAACCTTTTGAGGAGACACCTCATTTGTCAGATGTGGAATGGTGTGGAGTGGTTTAACTTAATTACCCCACCTCTCCACAGGGAGGTAGAAGGTCTCATTTGCAATTTTCTCCATCGTTCTGTTTGACTCCTTTCGCTTTAACAGCCTTTCTCTCCTGTGCAATAACTGTCACATTGTACCCATTGTAACATTTTCTAGAAATTAAAAAAAGTACATTTTAAATAAGACAACTTTCCCTTTGAAGTAAAATTTGAGTACATATCCAATAAATATCCTTTTCTTTTTTTTAGATTCTGTACTATCGAGGGTGTGCCATCCCAGCATTATCCACTGTTTAGTGTAAAGAAGGAAGCATGCCCTCCATGTGAATGAGATTCATTTTGGATGTCAATTTAATGATGTCTCTTCTTTTGCATAGTCAAAGTAGTCTACTGTCACTGCAAAGAAATGCTGCTGCTGTAACAAAGAAACGTGCCACCATTGTTTAAAGATCTTATCTTGAGTACTATGATGAGCCATGGATAC